CCCAGCATGTGGAAGTGCAAGCCTCAAGGGACGTTGCAATGTGGGCATTGCTCCCTTGTGGACAAATCAAAAGAACTGCATTCGCCAGCGGATTAAATAGATTATCCCTTGCTGACTCGCTTCAATGGAGACAATCCCAGGTACATCAATTCCTGGATAAGATGCCAAACGTCTTGCATCATGCAAGTTGCATGCTCATTTGCTCCTGGTCCATTCAAAACTATTTGGCATGCTAGTGTCAACTGGTCCGACGAGGGCCAACAATCTGACATTGTTTTGAGTTGTGATTCTATTGCTAGACAAGGATCTACCCAAATGATGAAAGTGAGACCATTGCCAAATGTATTGCTGCAAGTCCAATATATTACTAATTAAAAGATAGTGCGGTTTAGCATGCACCACATACTATATGAACAATACCAAAGGAAGTTAGTGAACGCAAGGCAGAGTGGGAAAGGGCAAAGTTACATGGTCGCCAAGCCTTTCAGAGAGAGCTATGGAAGGTTCAAAGACTCGGCATGCCACAGCATTGTGAAACATGTCAAGTCAAAAAACAAATGAACAAATTTGAACCGGGGCAGGTTTGGGTACCTACATAGGCACAGCTTAGTTGCCTTTCTGAGGCATCTACACAGCTGGTTCAGGAATGAGCTGTCCATGGATTAGTGCACCATGTTGCTCTCATGCCTTTCTTATATAAACACAACCAGGCTAAGCATATATGCTTCCTACATACTTTTCTTCTCTTTAGAGCTAAGTATGAACTCACCCCCAAGAGTTTACTTCATTGATTGTTGCCATCTTGCTACTTTGGGGCACCAATAGGTGGGTTGGTGGCATCACTGGAATTACGTCCCAGAAGTGGCCAACAAGGTCAAAACAATAACATCCAAAATAATATAGGAGGTGGTAGTGCAGAAACTACAAGATACATCACCAACATGTTGATGGAGGCATTTGCAAGACCACGCACCATTAGGGCCACATTCCTTCAATCAACTTGCCAATTGTTAGGGTTTGTGCACCATGCACATATACACAACAGGTTGGAGTAGCTTCAAGAACACAAACATTACCACAGGCTGACCTAACAGGCTGAACAAACTATACTTGAAAATTTCAATCTGCACAATCTCTTATGTTCTTCATTTGCATGCTTCAGATTATGCCTCTCAATGAACATCTACAAGAAGTACCTTGGTAGTTGGTTCAGTTATCTAAGTAATGACCATAGAATCATTCTAAGTGTCACAACATTTGAAGGGCAGAGCGCAAGCCCTTGCCTTCATTGCTGAACAATACACAATGAATGATTTGATTTGTGTAAATGCTATCTTCACAAGTCCTTGGCTCCCAGAATTCATACCTATCCCCAGAGGTGGGAGTAATAGTGATAACTGCTATATCTCATGATAAACAACAACATACTTCTTTGTGGATGACCAATTCGTCCCAGGACCTGGTGGCTATCCAAAGGGGCACATGTTGTCAACACACATTAAGAAATATATCAGATGCGTTCTTTGATCTTCAACTGCCTTTAGGTGAAAAGACATATTACCAAGACACCTCATGGGGGTGATATAAGAGGTTTGGGCAGACCACCAACAAGTTGGGTCCAGATACAAACCTTGTACCATGACCCACACCACCACTGCTATCTTTGCAAAGAGCCTGTGATCTCAAGAAGACTGATCAGAAAGAAGTTCCCTCACCCTTGGCTGTTTAAGCCATGGATCATTGACGTGGCATTAATGCCCAACTTGCTAATACTCTGGTCTTGCAAGACTTTTAGGGGACAATGCCTTGCCTGCCACAAAGTGTCCAGATTGGGATATTCTATGACGATTGACTTGAAAAGCACATGGTGTGTTATGACCTTGCAAAAGCAAGTCTCCATCTACTATCACAAACGTCTGTACACATTGAATCTAGCGGCCGTCTGTCAAGAACTAGCCCAAGAGACATAAACTGGGGATGTAATTAACCGTTTCTCGTTGTTCAAACTTTTGTGGGTCTTGCCAAGTTGCGAGAGCCTATTGGCCTCCACCATTGTTGTAACACCCAATCAACACCTGAACAACATAGGGCAGCCAGCCAGAGGTTGTTTTCGGCATTATCACATGAACACACAAGCATTCCTTAGCTTTGCCCCCAAAGGGAGTGACACCCTTCATTGTTGGGTTGTGATAGCTCATGATCTCCACAACTTGTACAATAGTGTTGCACTATAGAAATTTTTGTAACAACAGGAATCATCGCACGAGCATGTCAAGAGAGATCCCATTCGCGGTGATCTAACAACGATCCTTATTTTTAGCATGCATGGATTTGCACTACCCCAGTTTATGGAGGGACCTATTGAACTTTGTTACAGTCAAATTCCTAATAGCAATATATTACATTCATTAACATGCAAAGCAATATCAAACTTAAATGGAAAGATGTCTTGCAATTCAATGCATGTGCAAGGCATACAATGTCATGATATTGTTTAGTATTTCAATTCCAAAAATACTGCATAATAACTTGCTTGTCACAACGTCATTATAGTTACAGTTCATATTGTTTCAAAAAATTCAAAATATTGTTATTCTCAAACAGGCAAATCCAACTTTTTCCTAAATGCTTGTTGTTCCGACCCATTGGTCCCCTTGGAACTACTTCATGTTGCTTGTTCCTACCCCGCCTAGGTTTATCTTGTTGGTCCCTCTGGTCCCCTTATTATTACCATTATTCTACATGCGAAATTCCCTGTCATTGTCACAACTGCATGCCAGTGTTGACAACAGAGACTAGCAATATTTCCTCAGTTCATAGCCACTTGCTTGACGCCTGGCCCGATGGCCTCAAGCAGTTCAACAAGTAGATAACTTCTTCATATATGGAATCTATTTTTTGCACATCACCATTGGCACAAAGCTGCCTACAACTCCACAATATATATGGTGGATGCTCCAACCTTGATGATACCAAGAAGAGAGAGCAAATGCAAAAGATTGGCCCATAGTGGAAAGTGAGGGCTTGTACTTAAGTTAAGCATATGCAAATCATTGCTCTTTGTGCGCACATAATTTTGTAAACATTCTTAGCTCCAGGCAGATGAAATAGTGTCCTTGTTGCAGAAGGCTTGAGCTCACCGACTGGACTCTGCTCTGCAAGCCACCACTACTTAACATGTTCCTGTGAAGCGCTTGTGTTAGGCCTCCGATTCCTGGTGGTCATAGGATTTAGCGGCTATGCGCAAGAAGCTCAACTGCCTTCGCTGAAAATGGGCCTGAGCAATGGCTGGATGGACAAGCAAGCTGCCAATGCATATCGGTAGCACTTCCGGCATGCTATCAGTGCTGCCAAACTAGGGAGCTGCCACAAGTTGTGTGAGGAGGCAGATAATAATGACTTCTGGGAAACTTTTTGGAAGCTCACCCGACCACGAGGGGGTCATCAAGTTGCTACTCTAGAGGTGGACGGCCGTCAGGTTGTGGATGATCATTGCAAGGCATAACTACTCTTGGACAAATTTTCCCCTCCCCCACAGCCTTTTGCTTTTGTCTCTCCACACCATGCGGCGGTTGCTTCCCGTGTATGCAAGGTGCTTCAGGCTGCTCAAGGTATGGCAATCTATAGCTATTGCCTAACAATGACTAGTGCATGCACTCTTGCAAGCCCTCTTCTTTTGTTGGCCATGAGCAACATTAAAGGATCTGTAGAATAGCACTAGGATGCTGGGATAGAATTTTGCTGCTAACATTGATGCTTGTGTATCTAACCCCAACTCTCAAGACCTACCTATTGGCATGTGGGACCTGTTGATTTGCATTTGTTGGGTTTCACAAATACTAATGTATCAACGATGTCTATCGATGTCTTCAACAATAGGCGCATTATCCTGCTCTAGGTGATGCAAGCCTTTTGTAGCAAACCACTCATAACAAGGCGTTGGCTTGCAAAATCAACATGACCTTTTCAGCCACAACACTGCCAAGGGGAAGGGGGGGAGGGGACAGCGACTCATTTTTGGCCATGACGCAATGCATAGTTCATGTGCAAACACCAGGTAATGAGGTGCCTATAGGCATGCATTTGAAGAAAGGGGGCAATGAAACATTGGAAGCAATTTGCAGGCCTGGAAGTGAATAAATCAGAATGAGTTGTGTATACATGACACACTATAGTTCATGACAGAGGGATTCAAGATGCAATGCTGGCATTAGTGAAGAACCAATCAGCCAACAATGGCATTCCCTGGCTCTTGCAGCATTGGCCTACTTAGACACCACCACCAGTTGGATATATTGGACAACTCTGGAGCCGGTGGCACTGGCATGGTGCAGTGCTTGGTGCATTCAATGTGTGACACACTAGTCGTCCTTTGCTCCTCCCAATTAGCTACTCTACGAACTTCTGTACCCTTGTCATAAGCCCCTCCATATGATTACAATTTTTTCGATCGGGATGCAGCTCCTAACGAAATAGGATGAGCAAGAACTATTAGGCTAACCATCACATGGTATTATACTAGGGAACGATGGAGAATGGTGGGGATTTTTGGCAGGTACATAAACGTTTGTAGAGGGATCAGTGTGGGTAAAACGAGCATCTCATGCACATCATTTCCTTAGCAAGTGGCTTTGGTTACCCTTGCCATATTTCCATATTCATTTTGGTTCTGTGAAAATATTGCAAAGATGTGAGCCCAGCGCAGCTCACCAGCCATCATACAGTGGTTTCTATAGGCAAACTAAAGAGGGGCCTGCGAAACTAGGCCATCATATTGGCGATGAGATGCAAAGCATCCTGTCTGAGAAACCAAAGATGTGGTTAGAAAGTTGCTTGACCAGTTCTTAAAGAAGGATATGCTCATGGCACAACGGTGGGTAGATCAGTTGTTAATTTCATGTCAATGTTGAAGCCACGATGGCCGAGAATGTATAAAGTGGCCAGGTACCATGGCAATGGCCAGATATGGGTTTCAAGGAGTGGAATATGCATGGACACACTTGAGAAGCGAGTTCACGGTATTGTTTCTTGTCCCCTTCCGCTGCCGCCAACTCCTCTTGAGCAACTCTCATGAGCTCCTGTGCCTTCCATGCTTCAGCATCAACAGTTTTCAATTCTGCCTACAGGACACACAGAAACACACATACTAAGCAACGCAAAGCACTGCACCAGTAAACACCTTTTGATTTGAGCTACAAATTGCTGGCAAGGAATTGGTCACTCAACCTGTTGTTCCCCTTTGCCCTGTCTTGTCGTCTGCTCCTTCCCACCTACCCCAACCCCCCAACCCCTTCCTTCACCTCCTCTCCCCCACCTTTGCTGTGCTCAAACATATGAGCACAGAACATTGTTGCTCGCTCCAAAGTTCTTAAAGAGCCTGCAACGATCCATGTGGTCGATCAATACCTTTTGGAAGGGGAAGGGGGGTGTGGGTGGGTGAGTGGGTGGGGGTTGAAGTTCCCCGTGTCAAAACTGAACGAATAAATACATCCTCACTTGCAAGATGAACAACGACAGACTGTTTGGCACTTGTTGCTACTGAATTCAGATGATCAGCGAGCAGCAGTTTGTGAGCAGTCTGCATGGACAAAGCCCATGAAAATGACACCATGACAACGTACATATTTCAAAAAATTATTAGGAAACAACAGCCCAGAGACAAGCAGATATTTGCCGATATCCTCAGAAACCATCGTGCACGCCACAGTCCCATCGCTTGCACATCGTGTGTGCACACATGCGTATCGAGACATAAGGCAATATCTCTACAACGAAAAGAAGGAGAAAGGTGTTTCAATCATGTAACGACCGCAAAAGTGTACAAAAGACCCAAGGCTGGCCGTTCAGTGCATTGTGTGACTGCTGAGGGCAGTGGGGCTTGTGCGTCTCTCTTTGGCATCACCATATGGGCCAAAGGACATCCAGGATGCTAAGGGTGGCACTTGGCGATTTTCTGGGGCCAACATTCTTAAACCCAGAGGAGACAGGAACACTGAACGCCACATTAAGTAGGCAGAAAACCAATAAACAGAACTTTTGGCACAGACAACGATAGAGACACCAGGCAACTGAATAGTGTATAGTAGTCGCCGCCTGAAGAGCAGCAGCAACACCGGCCATTCTTCATACTGTGCCTTGGCCCCGTGACCATTTTTTCGATGGCAGTGATTTCTGTTGCTGAAAACAACACCCAGTCTTGCTGATGGGTACCAGGGTGTTGCTTTATAGTGTCTTTCCACAAATGCAGTAACCCAAATTGCTTAGACAGCATCGGATAACAAACCCACTATAGGACATTTGACCCCAGTATACATTGACAACCATTAAACCCTTGAACAGTACATTTGTGTTGGTACACCTGCAGCAGGCCTCCGGGCATGGCAAACCATTGGCTTCATACAAACTGTAGACACAGCAGCCAGTGTATCCCAAAATTATATCCAGCAGTGGAAGGCATTTGTAGGTAGCATCGTTGCTGCATATCAGTAGGCATCCACAGATGTTATTGGACAGCACAACCTGCAAAAGCAATCGTGAGCCAGTTAACATGTCCAGGACATCGGTGCCAGAAAGTAGGCAGCTGTGTTACAGGTTACCTGTACCCATTCCTGTTTGGACTCCGTGTCAGCACTTCCCATGACTGACCCTTGTTCCAGTGCCTTGTCCAGGTCTGCTTTTGCCTTCTGCGCCTTTGCCACCCTCTCCGCTGCCTGTGCGATTCTTGATAATGCATCCCTGGCCTGGGGGTCATCTGATATAAGCTCCCCAGCCATGTTTTCCCAGTCCTGCGCACAGCAATTTGTTGGCTCAAGAAAAAAGCTATCACACTGGACTAGCAGGTTGGTCTACCATGGCAGCAAACAGAGAAACTGGTGTGCAATGAGCACTTTTTGCAGAGCTGCAATGAATGAAGCACTGAAAGGGAAAGTGCTGATGCAAAACAATCCATGCAGAGGGTGAAAGCAGGGCTTCTCAGGTGCCAACTTCTTGAGCTGCTGCACAACAGCCCTGGACAAACGTACAGCAACCCATTCAGACAAGGTGTACTACAGCCCAATTGTGTGTTCATAAGACATCAACATATAATACTGTGCAACGAAACAGCAACAATAAACTGGTTCTGCCTGCATCAAGCACTCATGCAGCACAAAATTTCATGCAGTGCTAGAAGCAATGCAGTACTAGAATGTGAGTAAGTGCTGATAAGCTGCTGGGCCAGGAAAGTTTCTACAAAAGTGCGCTGTAGCACACAAGGACACTTTCGCCACCACCAGAGAAAACACTGCCCCACACCCAAACCGAAATGGTGAACCCAGAGCATCACTTGATCAGGGTAAGGGGAGTGCTTAGTCATGACTTGGACAAGTGCAATCATGACTATCTAGAATAATGTTCATCTCCCAGGCCCCCACAGTCAACTCCATGGACTGCAGAACAGCCATAACAGACAAAGACCTTGCACCTTGCCAGCATTGACAGCCCCTCACAAGTTGCAACCAGAAATCAAGCCATCCCCACCATCGGCTTTGATCAATGTGGCTGGGTTACATTTTGACCAAACCTTGACACATACAGCTGGGAAGAAGCTCTATCCAACAGGCACTGAACAACAGCAGATGATGTGCATGCCCACACTGGCAAAGCCAGCCTTGCCAAAGGTTTAGCGAGCTTGCCTGGTAATGTTGTGATGATAACGTAATCAATGAGATGGGACAATACTAAATGCCCCAACAAGGTCCCCAAAGCAGTCACACGTTGTTTGTTGCTAAAAGGGCAATCGGCAACATTTTCTGAAAGGGGGGGGAGGAGAGTGTCTCAGGAGGAAGGTGTCCGGTGTACAAGATGGTTCCCTTTTTGTAACAAAGAATCTTTGCCTTGCAAAGGCCAACATCCATTCCCTTTTAACACCCAGAACTCTTCATTGAGGGTGACACATGAGGCAAACCTGTTGCTGTGCCTGTCTACCCCTCCAGAGTTTCTTCAAGTCAGGCGTTGAAAATACACAGCAACCATATCATCAATACACTGCACAGCATCAGCAACATTGCTTCATCAGTTCTCCACATCCGTGCTGACCAAGTGTTCTGGCGATGGCAAATTTTTTCCACCACATTTATCTCTGTCACAAGCACATTTGAGCAACAGAGCACTCCAGCTGCTCAAGCTACTCCCTCGCTGATGTACTGCCCTGATGGCAGTGTGGTCTTCAATGTGTGTTGGGCTGCATGATCAACCAATGTTGTATCATGTGCACTGTATCAGGTACAAACAGTATTGCGAAACTCTGTAATCATCATCATTTCACCTCGTGGCTGGCTTTCAGATGCTCCAGAATCTTAAGTAGCATGATGGTTGCCCATGTGGCGCAACAGCAACGCCCTTCCAGCAGCGATTGCCCAAGATTAACCAGTGTACACAGCAATTAGATATAGCACCCAGCTGCTATTTGTGTCAACACAGAAAGCAACTGTGGTCATAGCGATTGTGTCCTTGTACCTCTGTACCAGATTTTGGCTGCTGCTCATCTGAGCCTCCATCTCCATCGCCAGCGACTCGGCATGCCAGCATACTCCGCCACCGATATTGGCACAGCAAGGGCAAATGGCAAGCCATCATCGCGGGCGTGTTGCGCCACTGTGAGCAGCATCGCAAAGGTGGATGGCAACTCAGTGCCAGTTTGGCGGGAGGCAGAGGTGGGCAAGTGTGGGCCCAGCCCCTCTCCACAGGAGTTCTCCAGGCGCCCTGCCCCACAGCACAGAAAGTCAGTCTCTGTGGATACAATTGTCCTTTGCACTGTGTTGTGAATTTTGGAGTTCAAATGCCTCCACTGCAGTGATGGAGACTGAAGGGGCTGGGATCGGTTGGTGTCTTGCAGTGTAATGCAAGGCGATGCAACACCCATGAGAGGATCGATGGCCTGGCCCTGGCTACAAATGTCCGTAGTGGGGTAGCCCAGCACAACAACAGGGTGGGAAGAAGTGCAGATCACACATGGCAGAAAACATGTCACGACACAGGTCACACATCACAACTTGTGGCGCAGGGACTCAGCCACAATAACAGATGATACACTAAGCGCATGTAGGGGGCTTTTGCTTGGCAATATGTACAACAGGCAGCCTGCTCATCTGCCTGTAGTTCCCAGGTGCTGCGCATTGGCAGCCTGGATTTGCAGTTTGAAAAAGTATTAAAAAAAGCAAAACATGTTCTTGCGATCTTTGTAGAGCTGAGTAAATGCTAAGCCAAGTATCACATATTCCGCTTCGCAAACTATTCCACAACAATATGCTGCAAATATGCTTGCAGCCCATAAACGTGCAGCACAAGGGACTAGGGACACCACCGGGCAGTCATGGGCAGCGCTGGTTGCAGTGTTCCCTTGATCGACCCGACATGCAGCGCCCGCACAGACGATCAGGACGCCATGCTCCACAGGGACGCATTCGAATCCCGCTCGCCTAGGCGCCCATCGCCACCGATGCGGACGACTACGCCGCCTCCAAACTCGCCAATGCCGCCATGCCGCCATTCACGCCATCCCGCGAGGCCACCCGCGCAGCCACGCCGATGCGATCCCCATCCCACTCACCACCGCCGCTGCCGACAATCCAGCGCGCATCCCCGCAACCGCACAGCCGCGAGGCCGGTCAAACCCCGTCAGTCGTCCAGCGAAGGCCCACTCCCCAACTCCCCACCTTCCCAGTAGTTAAGCGCACCCCAGCCGTGCCGCCCATGGCCCGGGAAAGCGCAGATAAACTCGCCATTTATAGCCGCCAATACGCAGTATGATTACGACTGTACTCGGACAGGATCTGATACACAGTCGAAAACCGTCAACAAACCCCAAAGTTGACAACTCCAGAACGCTCAGATGATGACGGTGGCCCCCGTCCTGGACGGGAAATGGCGCCACGGGAGCTCGAGCGGCCCGCCGCACCGGGCTCCCGGGGACTTGATGGCCAAACCGGGGAGGACGAAGCGCCTCCCTGGACGGGGCGGGGGTGGTCCGATGGGCGCTTTTTGGCCCAGAAGTGAGAACTGCTTGTGCGCAATTGGGATTCCTCTGTTTGCTCCGGTGCGCCTCCTGTCCGGCACTTCCCCGCGGTTTGGGCGTGTGCAGAAATGGGGGACCTCCATTTTCTATCCACTTTGCTCAGCATTTTCCTGTTGCAGGAAGGCCGAATGCTGTCGGCAAATTCTTGGGGCGAGCAAAAATGGGCCCCCCCGTTCCTTTTCTCATCCTTTTTGTCCGAGCTGTTCACACATCCACGAACACGACAGTTTCTCGGAAAACCCTCGCGCCAAGGAACCTGCATCTAACGCTGTTTCGTCATCAAGAGATCTCACTCTCAACAAAAATTCTTACAGCGCTGTTTTCGTCATCAGGAGATCTCACTCGCATCAAGAATGCTTACAACGCTGTTTTCGTCATCAGATCTCACTCTCATCAAGAATTCTTACAACGCTATTTTCGTCATCAGGAGATCTCACTCTCATCAAGAATTCTTGCAACGCTGTTTTCATCTCTCCTTCCCCCCCACCCCCACCCCCTTGCGGCACATTCTGCCAATCCTCCGCACCAGGCCAGCCCATCCAACCCCCAATGCGTCCCATTCAAAATTCGAACGCGTGATTTGAATTTCATCATCCTCGAGCACCGCAACGCCGGAGTTCACCTCTCAAGCACCGCTCGTCATCCCCCGACAACCCCCTCCCCCCTCCCCGCACTGACCCTACGCACGCCTCAGTGTGGAACACCCCTGGTGGACTGGCCCTCCCTCCACCCGCCGCCCACGCACACATACACACGCGTCTGAGCGTAGCCTCCCCCACACTCACAGCTGATCCAATCCACCCCCCCTCCGTAGTTTTTTACTGTTTCCATCTTTCCCGGCCAATCCATGGCCCCCCGTAAGCGCAAGAAAGACGCCCCCGGGTCATCGGAAGACGACCCCGACGGCTCCGCCGTCCGCATCAACGGCGGGGGGGCCGATCCGCCGGCGAGGGCCATGATCACGCGCAGGCGGGCGCGAGAGGCGCATATCCCAACCCCCGAGTCCAAGGCCGATCGATCGCGGGCCAAGAATGCGCGCCGGGTGCCAGCCCCGGGGATCGACGGGAGTCCGGAGGCAGCCAGGGCGCCGAGGGAGGGGCCTGGGGGGCGCCTGGGGGATGATCCCGTGCTTGATGCGGTGGTGAAGGTTTTTTGCATCCACACGGAGCCGAACTTCTCGCTGCCGTGGCAGCGGAAGAGGCAGTACTCGTCGAGCGGGAGCGGGTTCGCGATCCCGGGGAGGAGGATACTGACCAACGCGCACTGCGTGGACCACCACACCCAGGTGCGTGGGTGATTGGGGTGCGTTTGGCGCACAGATGCAAACACGCCAACACGTTGCAGTGTCCCGGAAAGAACAAGGCGATGTCAGGCATGCGTCCACGGGCTGATCGTCCAAACTACGGTCGTCGTGAGCGTTAAAGTCCGAAACCAATTTCTGGCAAGCCGCTGGGAGTCTTTCACTGCCTTCATGTCCACTGCCGCCCAGATGTACGGAGGCGGGACATGGTGCAATGCATGACATGACGCGATCAGTGGTTCAGACCAGCGTAGATCATGATCAGTGCAAAGAGAAGGAATGAGTCCTGCAGTGGGGGAGATCCTGCAATTGCAGGGCACCCTGTCTCACGATTAGGGTCTGATCAATGGGTGTCATCTGCCCTCAACGTTCTTGCCCCTTCACTCTTGTCATATTCCATTGATTACATGCTTGTTCCAACTTGACAAAGCAAGCCATTCCTCCAAGCTGGTACTGCTGCATGCTGAACGAAAGCACATTGTGATATCCCCAGCCTCAGCCTTGTGTGGTATACCATGTGTCCTTGCATGTGGATGGCAAAAATGGTACCCTGTCCTGAGGGACATGATGCTTTCATGATATTTTGGCTCTCTCTGGCAATTCTTTGGATCATCACTAACCTTGTTCTCCCTTGTGAAATTTTCATGTGAAGATATCCCCGGTGAACCACCCCTCTGTCAATGGTATGGAGCTGTATGCATAGTGTAGCATGTGTACCATACTCTATAAATATGGAGCTGGACACTGAGGATCTTGTGGTCATGGTGTTTGATTGAAGGAGGAATACTGTGGTATTGTGTAGTTAAAGTAGACTTCATAACATTGGGGCAATTGCACACACAATGAGATGTAAGAATGTGTGATTTTATGTGATGTTGAAGTGACTAGTGCAGACCGGGCCCCCCAACACCCCACATCCACCCCCGTGCTAGCTTGGACACACCCCACACTCCACACAACACCGGCCATGTTTAATAATGCTGGGGGCGTTATCTAAAAGCCCCCATGCTATTCAACACCCCCTGGGCTATCCTCCGTGATCTACGGTGTCTACCATCGCATTATTGCCAACAATTGCCTTGAACCACTTTGTTGTTGATCTTGCTCAGGTCAAGGTCAAGCGGCGTGGCTCAGACGTGAAATACGTGGCCCAGACCATGGCGGTGGGCCCTGAGTGTGACATCGCCATGCTGCGAGTTGACCATCCAGACTTCTGGGACGGCCTGGAGCCGGTGGACTTTGGTGAGCTGCCCCAGCTCCAAGACGCTGTTACTGTGATAGGCTACCCAATTGGTGGCGACACCATGTCAGTCTCCAGTGGCGTGGTGTCTCGAATCGAGGTCACACCCTATGTGCATGGGGCGGCAGACTTGCTGGGAGTGCAGATCGATGCGGCGATCAATGCAGGCAATAGTGGGGGCCCAGCATTCAATGAGGCTGGGGAGTGTGTGGGGATCGCCTTCCAGAGCTTGAAGAGTGAGGATGTTGAGAATGTGGGGTACATTATTCCCACGCCCGTGATTGAGCACTTTATCACGGACTTTGAGCGCAATGGCAGGTGGGTGTGGAGTCGTTCTCAAGGGAAATGATGGGTACAGGAATGGAAGGACGTGCAGCAATTGGGGGAGAATGTGCTGGAGCAGTAGTTTGCCTTGCAGACCGCTGCATGACCCGTGACTGTTTCTGGGCTGTTGTGTGGAGGACCTGTCACTGCACTGACAACTTTATTGGCTTGGCTTGGGCTCTCGAATGCCAGTCCAACTTTTATGGGTTGATGTATACCAAACCACCAACATAGAATAGTGAAAAGTTCTGGGTTTTAAGAAGAACAGTGGGTGATTAACCTTATCTGCTCCACTTGCTTAAACCATTGCTCACGCATGATTGTAAACTGATGGCTGACCTACAACCGATGCATGGCTGAACCAGCTCTGTTCTAACAGGAGCAATACCCAACCTTGTTGGAGAATGCGTAAGAGAAATACGTGTTGGTGAATGGTTGCTTGCTGAAATGGTACATGGTTCAAGGGGAACTTGCAGGGCCTTACTCATGCAGGATTGTGAGCACATGTTCTGAATTCATTTGTATCTACATTTTTGTCTGCCAGTTGCCTGCCCCTGGCAGGCTCGTTTCACAGACACATCATGCGCACACAAGCACAGCTCACAGTATCCAATACTGCAGCATGCAAAGCGACACATTGTGGTAGCATTTGTCTGTTTGATTCAGATCAACAGACGGCAGCGATTCTTCTAGTGGTCTGCAGTAAGGTCACAGTGCTTGTCACAAAGCTTGTGCTCAAGAGCAGTCTGAAAATTCAACAACGGGTACTTGAGCTTTCCCTCAATGAACAGCTGGTCACAAAGATGATCGTCACTCATATGCACAACACAAATTCTGTGTTACCCGATTGACTGCAATTGTGTACTTGAAATGTGGTGTATGCAAGAACCCATTACTGAGACACAGCTGACCAAATGCTGTTCTGACAGGTACATGGGCTTCCCTTGCCTGGGCATTGAGTGGCAGAAGATGGAGAACCCCCACCTTCGTGAGGGGCTGGACATGCGCCCTGGGCAGAAGGGCGTGCTGGTGCGACGAATCGAGCCCACGTGCCCGGCCTCACAACACATCGACCAGTACGACATCTTGATGAAGTTCGACGGGGTCGACATCGCCAACGATGGGACAGTACCCTTCCGGAGTGGGGAGCGGATCGGTTTCACCTACCTTGTGTCGCGGAAGTACATTGATGACGAGGTGGAGGTATCGCTGCTGAAAAAGGGGGGCCGGGAGATGACTGTCAACATCAGGCTGCATGCACCATACCGGCTGATCCCTGTGCATGTGGGCGGAAAGCCCCCTTCGTACTTTATCATTGGAGGTCTGGTGTTCACGCCGGTCACCGTGCCGTACTTAAGGTGAGTGCTTGCAGGTGCTAGAGTGGCCAGTTGTCTGGCTATTTAGCTGCTATTGATCTTTGTTTTGTCTCTTGTTGCGCCTGATTTCTGTGTGTGTTAGATTGGGTGTGTGTCTGTTGTGGAATTGCAATTGGATGCTTGGAAGGATGCGAATGCAGCACTGCAAGTAAATGTGTGTGGATGCGTGTGGATGTGCAAGTGGATGCGCGACAATCTGTAGATGCATGTTGAGTGCAATCCACTGTCAATGTTTGTGAATGCCTGGTTGCGTGTGTAGTCATTGCTTATTCACTAATCATGCATCGTATTTGTTTGGGAACACAAGACACAAGGCTGCATTTGTTGCCTGGCTGCTTGCATGTTCTTTCATTCTCTTTTTCAGCACAGATTCAAACTGGAATTTTCATGGAGGCTTGTCTGAACAAAGCATCCACTGCTGTGTCCCTAGGTCAGAATATGGAAAGGAGTACGACTTTGATGCTCCTGTGAAGTTGTTGGACCGGATGCTGCATTCCATGGCTGAGGAGAAGGAGCAGCAGGTGGTGGTGCTGAGTCAGGTGCTGGCAGCGGACCTCAGCATCGGCTATGAGGACATCGTCAACACGCAGGTCAGTCGCCTTCTTGATGCTGTGTTCGGCTATCGTATGCAGTATTTACAGTAAAATGCACATACTGGGCTTGCAAATTTTAATTTGTATCGACTGCTATTCAGCTGGAAAATTGGATTTGACATGAGGCTAACACTGGCTACTGACCCGCAAGTGAATCTCAAGCAGTGGCTAGGGGTGCTAAAGCATTATCCTGCATTGGCAATTGCGGTCATTGGTGGATCTGCAAAGATTTGCCATCAATATTTGACATTGTTTACACAGAGGCAATGGCAAGGTACTGTAGGTGTGGTTGTGAGGTGTTCTGTGTATCAACTGAATTGAGCTGCCCATTCAGGTGGTGGTGATGAGTTGGGAAGTGGATCTGTAGTCCATGGAAACTGATGGACTAGCCATATCTGGTCACATCTATGTATCAGTGTAGTACTCTCCTGGCTCAGAGGATATGAGGATGTTTTGAAGCAGGACATTATGTATATCACTTCCTCTGTCCAAGATTAATTGTCCTCTATTTAAAAGACAGAATTCGTTACAAGGACCGCCTCAAAATTGAAAACAAGTTTCAGAAACGGAAAAATTAGGTTGCAAAACCCTTACCTACCAATTTTCAAGAATAGAAAATGAGACACCAGCCCTGGTCATTTCTGACCCCAAATACGGAGGTTCATTAGGTAAAAGACCACTGGTAGAAAGAACTGCCAAATCCTCAATACTTAGTGAGTTGACTTGAAATTTTGATAGTATGCTCCAAACTTACAAGCACAACTTTGGGCGAAATTTGATTGAAAGCTGATGTAAGTACGATGGAGAAGTCGTGCCCCATAGTCATAGAGGACAATTATTCTTGGACGGAGGAAGTATGTTATTTTTCATGCAGTATTTTATGTATTGACTGCAGGTGGGGTAAATGAATTAGATGCAGGATCCAGAGTGCACAAGATGGTGGACATTGGCAATATTGCTGTCACTGCAGAATGTTCCTGGCACAATGTCAATATGATGCAGTGTTTCATTTAAAACATTGTGTTCCTTGGAGCAGCATTTTGTGCAGCCATTGTAATCAAATCCACTGAATAAGCAGAAGATCGTTGGTCTGGGGCAGAATTTGCTATCAGTGCATCGCTTACCTTCCCAATACAGAAAGTGTCATGTCCGTGCAGTATTTTGCACAGTCCTGTCTAGATACTGGCAAGGCCACATCAGTGCGGTACTTCGCACGGCGCTTTGTGCATCCATTGCGCAGGTGCTGGCCCTGAACGGTCAGAAGATCCACAGTCTACGAACACTGGTGGACCTGGTGGACAGCTGCAAGGACAAATACCTGCATTTCGACCTTGACTACAATCAGAAGGTGGTCCTTGAGGCCAAGGCGGCACGGGCAGCCACCAAGTCAGTTTTGCAGGTGCACTGCATACCGTATGACAGGTCAGAAGACCTCAGGAAGGGTCCCAAGGGGCGGTTAGGACAGTCCCAATAGGTAAGGACAGTTATTGCTTGGCTCTATTTTGGGGGTTGTCCCCATGCCTGAGTTGGCGGGGCTTCAGGGTTTTAGGTTTTGAGGTTTGTGGGATCTGAATATGGGTACATTATTGGATCTTGTGCACCAGGGGTGGGACGCAATCAAGTGCACAAGTTGGGACTGTATTTACACTATGATGTGTGATCGTTATGGGATGGCGAATAGTCCATGCTGGCTGCTGGCCTAGCTGGACATTCAGTTTGTTGGGAGTGGGAGGCTGGTGCAGGGTGTGAGCGACAGAGACTTGTGAGTGTGCTGTGAGTAGGCTTCAGCAAAGTGCTTGCAGGCATTCATTCCAACTGTGTTTGGAAACGATTGATGCCCCTGTTGTTACCACCCTTCACAATGCATTTGGCAGGCAATTGATGCTGCACATGTACAAGGGAGCGATTGCAAAACTAAGCCTTTCCGGAACGAAGTGGTGTAGACTCTGTGCACATTTCAAGGTGATTTGAGAGATTCTGAAGCCTGCATATTGTGCAGCGCCACTTGGAGCCATCAGTGAACGTCTTGATGAGTGTGTCTGGTGCACTATCAGAATTTAAAGCATGGGGTCATACAACCTTTGATTATTGCATAGAAAAGGAAGAGGCCATGGGCACAGCGCAAATCTTCCCTTTCTGGGAATTGATATTGAAAAATCTGGGCATCGCAGGGTGATGGTGCTCAACAGCACACCCACAGTTGCTGAGCTTGATCCCTACATTGCTTGGTGGAGTCATTCACTGCGGCATCGGATTGTCCTGATATGAGCCTAGAGATGCCAGATGTTGCAAAGGTAATCGTCCCCTGAGTGTCATGTTCCTACACATGCATGGAGCTAGCTACGATCCCTCTGGCTGGACTGTTTTCTGGGGCTTTTGTTGCCACACATTAATCGTGCACAATCTTCTTTTGAATTGGTACGATGGCAGTCATTTGAACACCATCCTTGAGTGGAGGGAAGGCTGTAGGGATGGCAATGGCTTGCATTTCTGTGCGTTGGACGGCTTGTTGAAAGTTTACTGGGATAGTCATTTGTGACTATGGCTCAATGCAGGCCAAAGAAAAGTATTTGCAAGGGGATTGGCCTGTGGAGCAGGGGCCCAGGACTGTACTTTTGTGGGATAATGCAGTGGGAAAGTGTGGACTATTTGTGCTACTAGAGTACTGGGCTATATGTGCATTTGCCTGAAAGGGTACTCACAATGTACTTGAACACATGCCTGGCAGCTGTGCATGTGGCGAGCCAAAGCAGGACTTGGGTTTGATCCATTGTCAATGTGATTGAATTTGGCACTAGAATGAAGGTGCTTATTCAGGTGGATTGGCTGGGGGGATGACTGTAGATTAGGTGATAAGTGCTTTAGGTTGCTGGGTGGCGTTTTCACAGGTGGGTGGATGCCTCTGAAGTTTAAAACTGACAGTTTGGCCTAACCATGTTCAGCAAAGAGAGACAGGCGGAAAGGTCCGGAGATCGCATAGATTCCAACACAACACGAAACTGCCCTATGCTGTCTGGAAGCAGTTGTATGTCGTTTCACAGCCACTGCAGCGGTTTTGCTGCACGGCAAGCATCCAGATGTGGGCCTTGCGTTCTCGATCACAAGGGCAGCGGCTACTCCGTCAAGGAATGGCAGCCCAATGATGGGGGGAAGTGTCTTGAGGCCTAGTGGCTCGCTCCTCCCACTTTGTCCCGTACCTCTCGTCTCGGTTCGCTCGAACGGGTCACTGGCCCCAGCTCTTTGCTACTGCGAGACATGTTTTCTGGAAGGGGATTGGATGCGGCTGTGTTCGGTGCCAAAGCCGTGAAGGAGTGGCATGCTTCCCCCAATGCGTGGCAGATTGGATAAGGTCCATATCCAATAGACCGCTGCTCAGTTGTGCTACAGAGGGAATGTTGTGACCGCTCCTAACAGAATTCTATTAGGAGCGGTCACAACATTCCTTCCGCAGGACACATTCTTTGAGCTGCTGCCAGCGCTCCCTGTTTGAACAACGGCCGCTGGCAGCAGCTTAAAGGTAAGTAGAACGGTCCCAAGAGAGTAGGCTCAAAGCGATAGGAGGACTTAGGATCCTACGGAGGTGCTCCGGAGCAACCATTGGTGGATTGCCACATCCACAGAAATGGTTTCAAGTGGAACTATGTCGATTGTGGGCCAAGACTGGTGTGGAAGTTTCGATTCTGCCAGCGAGGCAGAATGCTCCGACCAGGTTGCAACATTACCTTGAAGCATTGGCCTGCACAGAGCTCAAATGTCTGGAACGTCGGCATTTTTCCACTCATTGCAAAGCCGGGCATTGGACATCAACTTGATGTCCTACCTGAAGGAAATTTCCGACATCGCAACTTTTGTGCGCTGGCAAAAATTCGACATTTTACAAGGTGCTCTTGAAAGCAACGCGCCATAACCGACCACGCCACTCCTTCAAAGCCAGCGCAGTCTTATTTAACCCACTGTCTGATCTGAGAATTGATCAGCACGTGGAGTCTGCTCTCTGTGTTCTCAATCCACCCGAAATGCCGTCAGGTTCTGGTCCATTCAGAAACCAGTCCCGCACAAACCAGGCGTCATGTTCAGAGGCACACGGATCAGACAGGAATCAACGGACTCGGCGAGGCTCCCGCTCACAATGGAGCGCCTTGTATTTGTATTAGAACCAGTGCATCGTTACTGCCTTTGGTGCTGTTCCCAACGTTCCCCAGTGCAACTCCGACTAAGAAAAGACTGTTTTCCATCCAGTACAGAATCATAGTGCGCCTGTCATGGATCAGATCACCCCTTGATCCTACCCTGTAGCATGGCAGCGGCACACCGCAAGCACGGCCTGGCCACGCCCCAACCATGGCGCCGCCACGCTCCGACCCTGACAACTCATCAACAGTTAGTCACTTCTAGTCCTGCCTGCCCGAGGATCAATCCTACGTTACTGTGACGCTATCCCATCGCTGACTCAACGTATTAGTAACTCCTTGTCAGTCAACCGTATGTCTGTAGCTCGGCAGCCTCCGACATCGTATCATCGTCTTCTCGCTGCCGTATTTCCCGCCTTTGCCGTCGCTCAGTGCGCCTCCGATGACGGGCCTCGACGCGACATCGAGCCCTGGCCTCCACTGGAGTCTCCCTCTCCTGTCCAGCTGCCAGGCTGCAAATCATGTCCCCGTGCATGGATGCCCGACGTGGGTAATGCCGCTCCCGCATCAACCACTCATGACATCAGATCGATCTGAGCTCCGAGGGGTCGCCTCCACCTTCCAAAGGCGGCGCCTGTCACCCACACGGGGCACAAGCTCCTGTGCTAGAGTCGGACATTTCCAGTTCGCAGCCACTCCGTGAGTGATGTCTGCCACTGCTCCGCGCTCCGACAGCCCGTACACACCATCTGGGACACCACGTCTGACCACAAGCAGGCGGCGCAACTGCGGTGGGCGCCGCGCACTGCTGTGCAGGCTGCAGACGCGGATCGGGCTCTAGAATGTTAGGAATCAGTTTTGGGGCAAGGCGTAGAGGTAGTCTCAGTCTGACAGCTCATCATGGGACACCGTCCACGCCGTCCAATCCTACTAAATGCGGTTCTTATCCTATGGTTTCTCCGCTCAAAACTTCTTCCCCTGTGTTATGAAATCATTGCTTTTTGTCCTTTTTCCAAGCGCTTTTACTTGGTTTTTTAGTCAACGGCCGATGCATAAATGACCTTGATTTGAGGTGATTTCAATAATGCACAATCGTGTGAAATCGTTGTAAGATCGAGTAAAAATCGGGTACTTTGCAGCACGATTCTACACTGTTGCTAAAACCGTGTAGTCTTCGCCCGTCTGTAGTACAAGAAAATGGCCCATCTTATCACCATGGATAACGCAATCAAAAGACACGGTTTTACCCAATTCCAACAGTGCTCCAGCAGTAGCCGTGTGCTTTGTGATGAGCACACGATTGGTACACGATTGGTACACGATTTTTACACGCACAACATGGTGCACGATTTTCAGGACCGTGTACTTTGGCCGATTGTCTTCTAGTGGTGACGGTGACATTCTACAGCAAAGA